GGGGTTTCGGGACCACGAAATTCGGATTCCTTGGGGTCAATTCCCTATTGAACCCCGCGATCTCCGACTTCGTACGACCTATACTAACCGAGAAAAAGGCCTGGTACGGGTGGTCTGAAACACCCTGTATAAGCGTTACACGTTTTTTATATAAAACGATCATTTAGATAACAGATATGTTTTTTTTATACTTTTTTTAGAAAAACAAAAATTTGTTCTGCTACTTGGGTAGGTAAATCATCAGACGTAGTTTTACATGTTTGGAACCATCAAGAGTGCTCGGTGTTCTTCATTCGCACAAGCAGAGGCGATAAAGGAGGAGAGGGAAATCTCTCATAGAAAATGCCTCACAGGAGAATAATTTCTTTATGGGTCATTCCACGTCAACTGTGCCAGGCTCGGAACCCGACCCCCTCCGATTTGGCTGAAAATTGGTATACGAGGTCTTTACATCATTATAAGAAACTGATTTGAAACCCAAGAAACCCATCTGACGCCCCGTTCGCGAGATATCTACCCCCAAAGATGGGGTGAATTTTAGCGATATTCAAAAACGCCCGTTTTAGCGATTCTCATTTTCTCGACTTCCCTCTCTTTGACTCTCCATAGCGAGACTCTTTATCAATCCATCATACTTTGAAAGAGTGTTTCTAGACCAGTTTTTCATGTAAATTCTGAATATGCCATCGAAATTTAGCTAAAAATTATTCTAATGCCCGTAATTTAGGGTTTTTTTAAAATATACGATATTTTCGCCATTCAATGTTCAAACTGAATTCTCCAAAAAACTGTCTCTCAGATTTTCGATTTTTTTTTTTTTTTACTTCAAGCTTAGAATATATACAGGGTGAGCGAAAAGTCCCCGACCCCCCTCTAACTTTTGAACGAATTGAGCTAGGGAAATGAAACTTTGGGGATAATCCTATCTCAAAGGGGACCATCTTTTGGGGGGGGGGTCAAAATTTTGGTTCCCCTGAGGGGGGGGGCCAGACCCCCAACTTTTTTTTTCAAATGGCAACCCCTATCTTGTGATACCTCATTCGAAAGAGCATAAAAAACTAAGAATTTTGGCGCAAACCGCAGATCAATATCTTAATTTTTGACCGAGTTATGATAGGTCAAAGGTCAAATTTGACCTATTTTCAAAAAATCATAACTCCGGTTCAAATTATCGTAAAGGAAAAAATAAAACGGGAAAATTTACCAAATTGTGTCCGCTTTTAAATAAAAATTGCAAAAATCGCTTCGATTTAATATTAAGGGGGGGGCTTGGACCCCCAAATACGTCAATTCAAAGGTCATTCAATTTTCCCGCGAAATAAGCCAATTTCCCCTGGATTTGCCTCCACATTATCTCAGTAAGGTCAAAATCAGTTCAACATTACGTTGGCAAGTCCCCAAATTTCGGGAAAAGTTAAAAAAATGATATTTAAACGGTCAAATTTAATTACCTTAAATATCATTTTTTTTAACTTTTCCCGAAATTTGGGGACTTGCCAACGTAATGTTGAACTGATTTTGACCTTACTGAGATAATGTGGAGGCAAATCTAGGGGAAATTGGCTTATATCGCGGGAAAATTGAATGACCTTTGAATTGACGTATTTGGGGGTCCGACGCCCCCCTTAAAATTAAAGCGAAGCGATTTCTGCAATTTTTACTTAAAAGCGGACACAATTTGGTAAATTTTCCCGTTTTATGTTTTTCTTTACGATAATTTGAACCGGAGTTATGATTTTTTGAAAATAGAAAATTCTTAGTTTTTTATGCTCTTTCGAATGAGATATCACAAGATAGGGGTTGCCATTTGAAAAGAAAAGTTGAGGGGCCACCGTCCCCCCCTGAGGGGGGGACCAAAATTTTGACCCCCCCAAAAGATGGTCCCCGTTGAGATAGGAACATCCCCAAAGTTTCATTTCCCTAGCTCAATTCGTTCAAATGTTAGAGGGGGGTCGGGGACTTTTCGCTCACCCTGTACGTTTGGTTGATATACTTTTTTCAATGGAACTCGGACGGTTAAGGGCCTAAAAAAATTCAAATAGGCCAAAAAAGGTCAAAAATGGTAAAAAAAAGACGAATTTTTACATGTTAATCCAAATCTTTCGATAGTAAACTCCTCAATTATCGATATTTTTCCCCTTTTTACCCTATAATGTGTATAAAATCAGACTTGCAACGCTTCCCATACATTCACCGATCGATTAACGGCCTGAGGGAAACCGGAAACCGACTAAAAATCCTCGAAATTTACGCAAAAAGGCGATTTTTCTAATCGTAACCGATGCATTCCATGACTTAGTAAGAAACACTTACTAACGTACATCGATGGGGCACGGATCTAAACGGAAATTAAAACCGGCCGAAAATGCTCAAAAATGACGGCGAAAAACGATTTATTACACGGGAACCGATGCATCTCCTGAATAGTCACTGAAATTTTAATTTTTTCTCCTTACTTCAACCTTATGGTGTAATCTTTCGAGTACTAAACACTAATAAAAGCGCATCGATGTGTTACGGAGCTAAACGGAAATGGAAACCGGCTGGAAATGCTCAACAAAGGCGGGGTTTCCCACGGTAATCCGAGCATCTCATGAATAGTCACTGCAATTTTCATTTTTTTTCTCTTCTTCGAACTCAAGGTGTACTTTTGAAAAGCTTACATTACACATTATCCATTTATTGGTAAAATATCTAAAAAAAAAACCGAATTAGAAATAAACCGAAAATTCAAAAAAAAAAAAAGGCGATAAATGACGTTGAATAAGTGGAGTTGATTTGAATCGATGATATGATTTTAAGGAGCCGATGCTTGTATCAAAAAAATCGCCGATTATAAACTTGACGGTGGAAAAATATAATGCACTTCATCGATCCTTTGGAGGACCTTTCCACAGGTAAAGGCAGCCTGACACTCCTTACAAAAAAGTTAGAAGCCATGATAACTAGCTAAGAATTTTACCCCTACGGCTTCTGAATAGAGGCGATGAAGAACCCCTAACTTTTTTTTTTTTTTTTCCTCACGTGGAGGAGGTTGAGGGGAATCCGTCGGCGGACGATGCCCAATTAGGGACCAAGTGTGCCTTAGACTTCGACTTGACTGAGAATTCCAGCAATAGTTACAATAAAATGAGGAAGATAGTTCGAATAAGAAATGGAGGTTTGACTTGGACCTGATTTACGGGCAGGGAGAAAATGTCGTTCATTAATATTGACGATAAATATTGCAAAAAAGTAAAAGGTAAAATTTGGAAAAGGGTAAGACATCACGCTGCCTTTCCATACACCCGTATAATTTATTTGCTGGAAAACTCAGAATCCCAAATTTGAAGAGCGGATTCAAACCAAAGAAATTTTTTTAGGCCCTTAACCGTCCGAGTTCCATTGAAAAAAGTATATCAACCAAAAGTATATATTCTAAGCTTGAAGTAAAAAAAAAAAAAAAAAAAATCGAAAATCTGAGAGACAGTTTTTTGGAGAATTCAGTTTGAACATTGAATGGCGAAAATATCGTATATTTTAAAAAAACCCTAAATTACGGGCATTAGAATAATTTTTAGCTAAATTTCGATGGCATATTCAGAATTTACATGAAAAACTGGTCTAGAAACACTCTTTCAAAGTATGATGGATTGATAAAGAGTCTCGCTATGGAGAGTCAAAGAGAGGGAAGTCGAGAAAATGAGAATCGCTAAAACGGGCGTTTTTGAATATCGCTAAAATTCACCCCATCTTTGGGGGTAGATATCTCGCGAACGGGGCGTCAGATGGGTTTCTTGGGTTTCAAATCAGTTTCTTATAATGATGTAAAGACCTCGTATACCAATTTTCAGCCAAATCGGAGGGGGTCGGGTTCCGAGCCTGGCACAGTTGACGTGGAATGACCCTTATTTATCTTCTTTATTCTCTTTTTTTGAGATCTAACAAAGCACGGTTTTGGCATATATAGGATACAGGTCCCGCTCGAATGCAGTACATTCGACTGATAAAGTAATATCGCAATTAAATGAAAGATAACAACAACAAAATTTCGTAAATCATCATTCTTAAGGGTCATACTCGTATATTTTTATGTCTCCATTCAATAGAGAGAACATTAGTAAATAAGATTCTTCAATATTTTTAATTACAGTTCTGCTTACACCTTATTTGCCCTCGTGATATGAAAGCCCTGAACGACACTAGGCCTCAAAACAGAAATGTAAATATTAGATTACAGCCTCAAATGTATATAAATTACCAATCAATTTTTGAAATTGACATTCGTGCATATTATGTTGCCACGTCGTAATCAGCAACGACGGATTTGTAAAGTACGGGTAGCGCACAAATGCAAATTCCAACATTCTCCTCACCCATCAGTTAAAAGAAATTGGCCTTCGGAAAATATATGCGCGGTGCAAGCGCCGGCATGTGGGGGAGGGGGCATCATGGTGCGATGATCGCACAAGACTTTCTCGCTGAAGCCGGCGCAGACACTTTAACTGGAATGTATAGAAAAATACTGCCAACCTCACAAAATCATGAAGTTCGATTGGAATTTTGATCGAACAACAATGGTTATGAAATTATTGTTCAAACCACTAAACTTTATCGTAAATCTCTGCCCGATATGTGATGAATTTTTATATTTAGAATCGACTTGTCGGTATTATGAGGCATATTCAATGAAATAAATTATTAATGATGCCTCCTAGTAAAGACGGCGATCCTTAAAAATCTTAGCTTTCCTACGATTCATTGGGATCTTTTGGATTCATTGACATCATACTTTAAATATGATTATGTATTACTAGCCGTTCTGGACGCGCTTCGCGCGTCCGTCACGGCCAGCCAAGGGGCTGCGCCCCCTGGACCCCCGATCACTCGCTACGCGAGCCATTTTTCTCAGTGATTGGACGTTTGATCACTAAGATGTATACATTTTGGAGACTCTAGAGGCAAAAATGATTTCGTCATAGAACCTTGTTGCCGGAGCGTGTCATCATTTGCAAATGAATAGATGTGTGGAGATGAAGCAATGATGGGAATCGATCATTTCTTCAAAAACGCATTTGACTGGGACGTCATCCCATCGGATGGCGGAAAAAGACAATCCATGGATCTCCTTCCGCGATTTGACACGCTGAAGTAGCAAAAGTTCATCTTTACCTCTTAAGAAGATTATCGGTGGCGTAGGGGTCTAAAAACTGCTCGACGATAGTATAGTTCGAGTTCCGAATCGCAATGAACCCACCCGTGTTTTTTTTCCTTATATTTTCATCGCATATAAATTTCTCTGATGTTTTTGTTTTATTCTCTCTGATTGCATATTAGCAATCATATCCTCATTTCATTTCCTTTTTCCTTTTCTGTAGCATCTTTGTCCATATACAATTATTATTTTACAATAGCTTCCCCCTAGTATACAATTGATGCTTCAAACGGAATCAATTGTTTTAATGACATTTTCGGCAAAATCATGGGTTTTCCCAGGATGGCAGCCTCTCGTCCCTCCCGGACTCTATTGTTGCCAGATAAGTTGCTTTTTTAGCACTTTTCCCAATTCAAATCCATGTAAAATATTCACATTTATCCCACAATCTGGGAACCTCTCGAGTGAAATAGAAAAAGGTAGAATCGCTGAAAGTCTGAATCCTTCGAAGTTTATATTAATGATGATAATCTTTCCCTAAGCAAGGTACAAAGCTATCAAAAACCTACTTCTATGGGTAGAATCACTATCCGATAATTAAGTAGTTTTAAAATAATAAAGCAGAAATCCAGCATCGATCCCACGTCTCAAAATTGGCGGTCGAGTGACCTATCCACTGGACCATTGGGAATGGCTGGAAGTAGGCAGGAAATTAGCTATTTACGAGGTTGTCCACTAGAGAGCTCTCCCACTCTCCCCACTGGAAATGGTTCACCTCCTGCCCGCCGGGAGCGCCACCTCCTTAGCTCATATCCCCGTGTTTTAGATTTTAATAACAACAACAAATGTGAACAATTGTGAACAAATAAGTGCTTCGTGTAATCGTTGAATCAGAGTCAATCATGTTCATGCAGTATTATTATATTTGTGTTCAATACCTCGTAAAAAGGAACCGCGAAAGATGGAATCTACCGGGATGCTTAAGGTCATAAACAACAAACATATTAGCTTCCAATAAAGATCTAAGTGTCAGTTCTAGTGTTAGCTTCGATGATTCATAGTATGTAAGTCGTTTAATTTTGCTTGATGTGTACAGAGTAATTTTGGAGATGGTATATGATGCATTATATAATGCATTTTAAATCATTGGTTTCTTCTGACTCAAAGCACTTGCTGCTAATACCGATGAGTTTTCTGTTTCCTTGAGCGTTCGGCCGAAATGGCGATTTGTTATGGGCCCCTTTTCAATTTTGAGTCTAGTCCAAGGATCTTATAGGAACTTAGATAAATGACCCAGGTAGTGCTTGATGCCAGCTTTCACATGATTAAAGGCTTTCCACAGTATCTACAGTCCACCAAAGTGAGCGGGTCCTCTGCGTGATCTCACGGAACAAAGTGCCCTTCTTCTGTGCCTCGTATCCCTTGAATTTTGAGTTTAGTCCACAGATCTAAACGGAACTTAAATCAATGACCCAAAAGGTGTGCTTGATGCCCCATTTTAAAGAATTGAAAGCATTTCCCCCAAAATGACAGTTCATGAAAATAGGCTGTTTGTGTGATCTCGCGGAACAAAGTGCCCTTTTTTTGTGCCTCGTATCCTTTGAATTTTAAGAATTTTCTAAGATCTCTTAGGAACATAAATTAACGACCCAGTTAGTGTGTTTGATGCCCACTTTTAAAGAATTAAAGGCATTTTAAAAAATGTACAGTCCTTCAAAATGAGCTTTCCGTGTAATTTTGCTAAGAATCAACTTTGGCCCCTACCCCCCCCCAAATTTTAGCGTACCCCGAAATTGTTGGCATGCCTAAGGAGACCATAGATATGGTCTTCCCTGTAAATTTTGAATGAAATTTAACAGGAGACATTGAGATATGGCTGCACACAGATTTGGGGGACGCCAAACGGACGGACACAAATTTTTTCAAGTATGGTTATTTTAACGCCAGGGACCTTAAAACTTTTAGAAATGATAAAATTTCAACCTTTTTTTTCTTGGAGGATGACAATACTTCCTGTACCCTAGGGGAGCGAGTAAGTAAAAACGAGTTTTAAAAATTCCATAATCATAAAGCGATTAATTTAAAATCTGGAGAAAAAAGGCTCTCAGCCTTTGAGACGGACGTAAAATCGCGAGACTTTTTTTCAAACAAATTTTATGATATCCGCCTTTTCAAATAGTGCTGCAATGTATGTTTGCAAGCTCCTTTTTTAAAAATGAGACTGGATTTTCAGAAAATGTTGAAAGCAGTATGCAATTTTTACCCAAGAAAGTTTCGATAGAGCATATTATGGGCATGCATATAATTGTGGCATATTCTTTAGTTTTCTTATTCGAATAACAATTCTTCTTACTTTATTTTTTATGCACTTATTTTTTTTCAGGTTTACCCGGATTGAAAGGATTTCCAGGAGATGATGGTCGTAATGGGGAACCAGGTAATCCTGGAATGCCTGGCCTTCCTGGACCCCGAGGTCTCAAAGGTGTTCCCGGAAAAGTTGGTAGACCTGGTGCTCGTGGAATCGATGGTAGACCTGGTATTCCCGGTGAGTTTCAAGATTAATCATTTTTTATCGAAGGAAACGAAAAAAAGGCGTCGAGTACGTAATATACACGGTGGCACACGTTTGAACTTCATATCTCTCATATAGCCCCAGTTGAATGAAAAACAAAGGCATGTATGTAAGTGAATCGATTAGCAAAGCTATAAACTTACCTTCTCACTTTGACTTTTAATTGAATAACTGAGTAATGAAAGTATACATTTTTGAAAATGCATATTTTTGGGGGGGGGGGTGTTTAGAATCCCCACGAAAGATATCACAAGTAGCTCGCTCAAACAGTATCTCCTCCGACTCTGAATCCTGACCTCCCAGAAGATGTGAGCGAGTCGCAAGTTAATGAATAAACATATATAAATATGAGAATTACGTTAGTAGACACCTCAGCTCACAAAAACCGAGAAACCTAGTAGAATCCTCTGATTCACAGTTATGCCGAACTGGTTCTAAATTAGGATAAGGGTACGTTCGCGATTAACCGATCGGCTAACACTCGTTCACTTGGGAGGTCGACACTCCGGCACCGTCTTCTAACATTACATCGGAGGTTAAGTTGACGGGTTCTTTTCCAATGTCTGTTCCCTCAAAATCTTTTTTTTTTTTACCAAGTATAATATTTCTAATATAATTTAGTCCAGTATTCAATTTGTCTTTAGCTGCTAACATAAAATTTTGTCGGTTACTTTTGGTAGGTAATTTTTTCTTGTAATTTTGTCTCAATTTCTTTCCTGTCTTTTTCGAATCTTTTACAATTAAAGAAGATGTGTTCCGGAGTGTCGAGCACCTCACAATCGGGGCACAGGGGAGTTTAATTTCCCGGTAAAAAGATACTCTCAGAAAGATCCATGGCCAGTGATGGATGTATTGGGTGATATAAAAATCCGGGACTCCATGTTTTCGAACGAGCTATTTTTCCAGTTCACCTATAGTCTCTTTAAACCATTAAATTCCTGCCTCTTGTATCCAGTTTTCCTTCCATTTCTCTCTTATGACAGTTGCGTGCGGTCCGGATAAGGAAGGCAAGCCGTGTTTGCCCAAACATTTCAGGAGAAAGAAGGAAATTATACCTAAGAAATAAAAATTTCAGTAAAATTTGAAGAAAACTAGCATGCGTCGGGAGCTTAAGTACGGGTTTCCCCCATTTTTAAGGGGCTCTGATTTGGCTCAAACTTGAGCTTTCGAAGAATTTTTTTTATTATTATTCTTCATGAAATTTTGCGTGGATTTCAGTTTTCAACTTAACTCATTACAATTTCTTGGCGATTTCTAAATACAGGGTTCAGCCCCAACAAAATATCCCCTAAAGGAGGGTGGGGGACTGACCTCTGAGGCATGAAATTTGAATTCCTTGGGGTCGATTCTCCATTCAACTATCCACCTTCCAGAACTCAGAAACCACTTTTTCTTCGAAAAAAGGCATGGTGCAGTAGGTCTGGGCCATCATGTATAAATTGACAGTTTAATTTATAAATACTGCATATTTCATATGCATCTTAATTATGTTATATTTCTCATATATTGTCAACATTCATATCTTTAGTTACAATTGGCCCTTCATTTTTCATATACAGGGTTATTCAAAAGTCACGCACCACTGGCCATAACTTTAGTTCTAATTATGCTATAGACTTGTGGTTTAAGACGGTATTCCTCATATCGAGGGGGACAATTTTTTAGGTAGGTCTGTACTTTCCAGTTTTTGATCCCCTCGGGGGGCGGGGGGCAACTCAAAAAATTCAACTGGCCACCCCCCTCATGGCCAGTGGTGAGTAACTTTTGAATAACCCTGTATGTCTTCATTATCTCATATTTCTTGTACCTATATTGTCAACATTCGTTTCTCTAGTTACATAACCCAAGTAGCAGTGATCGCGATAAATTGCGATTTAATCGGAGGATGTATCGCGATTTTATCGAGGTCGATTTATTGCAACATTATCGGATAAAAAATCGCGATAAATTGCGATTTCATCGTATTAAATTGCAATAAAATCGCGATTTTATCGACGGCGATTTATCACGATAAATTGCAATAAAATTTCGATTTCACAGAACGAGATTTTGTAGAGATAAAATTGAAATTTCTCATCAACGCCCAATAACGCATGAATAACGCTTATGAAAGATGTTCTTTAGCGGAGGTGTAAGAACGACTCGATACGAGGTTGGGCGTGAAGTTTGGATGGTGGGAGGTACGCCCACTTTGAGAAAAAATTCTCGGCGTTTTTACCAAGGTCCGTTGGTAACTTTACCATCCCACTTTTTTACCAATTATTGGTAATGTTACCAAGCTAGACTGGTAAGCTTACCTAAAAACCGGTATTTTTACTGGTTTTTTCAGGTAAGAATATGTACCACTTTTATTGGTAATCAATTTCCGGTATAACTTTACCATTTTATCTCGGTAATTCTACCACAGTCGATAAAAAATGTTGGCGTTTTTACCAAGGTCCATCGGTAACTTTGCCATCTCACTATTATTGGTAATTTTACAGAGACAGAATGATAAAATTCCCAATAGAACCTTATTTTACCAACCGTATTTCAAGGTATGAAATAAAATACAGAGGAGGGAAAATAAAAAAAAAATTCCAATGAAAACTCGGTGTCAGTCAACGCAATGACAAAAGTTGTAAGGTTACGAAGCGCCGATCCATGTATAGGTAAGAGGCTTCAATTCGCATCCGCAAATCATGTAGCGGCCATAGCCCAGTGGAAAAGTGCTGGCCTACCACCGTGGCAACTGAGGTTCGAATCCCCGCGGAGGCTCCGGGGATTTTACGCTCGTCTTCTTCAAAGGATCTAACGCCAATCGGCTAATAGCGTAGACCCCTTTTTTGGCGATTTTATCGGTGATAAAATCGCTAGGATCATCAACGTTTGAGCGATTATCCTCGCGATAAAATCGCTATTTTTTCGGGCCGATAAAATCGCAATAAAATCGCGAAAAGATCGAGGATAATCGCTCAGATGTTGATGATCCTAGCGATTTTATCGGCGATAAAATCGCGATTTTTCCGTTGATGAATACTACTTGGGAAACGGCTCTCCATACTGCTAATATGGTATTATTGTGGCTAGTGAAACACGATACTTACTATGTTGATGCCAACACGAACTTCCCAAAATGGTATTAAAACGATATTAACTTGCTACCAGCGACTGAGCGACTCATCAACTCTCTCTCAACAGTCAACATTGTCCCATATTGAGATTACTTTGATACCATATTCGACACTTTTAGTCACTTGACAAGTTGGTACCATGATGCTACGTTAAGCCATAATAGTATCCTGCTCGTACCACATTGCTAACGAAATGAATCGTCCGTAGGGCCCCACAAGAGTAATTAAATTAACGATCATCTTACCTTCTGACTGACCCCATGTTGATATCTTGTTGTCGTCAACATGTTAGGTACTATGTTTCACTAAACAACACGAATTTTTTTTAGCAAGGAAGAGCTTTTAGGATACGTAAAAATGCAACGGACTTACTGTATTATTTATCTAACACGTTCATACTAACTAACACAATAATATAACGCTGAATTGGATGTCTGTGCAGGTTTGCCTGGAGTGCAAGGCCCCAAAGGAGTGAAAGGAGAAATAATTGGATCTTTAAGTCAAATCAAAGCAGAACAAGGTCGTCCAGGTCCGGAAGGTCCGAAAGGTCAAAGAGGATTAAGTGGATTTCCTGGAAAAGAAGGGCCACCCGGCGCCACAGGATTACCTGGTCGTAGGGGAGAGAAAGTGAGTACTTCTTCAGAGCTGTGCAGTTGAGTGCAATTTAATTCAGCCGAAAAGAGAGCGAAAAGAGAAGGAGGTGGGAGCGGCGGCGGTTTTTCCGGAAAAACCCTTAAGGGATGTCGCAACCCCTCGGAAGGCCGGACCGGAAAGTCCCGCGGACAGACGGGAGAGCCAGCCGCCGGGGTCCTGCGACCAATTTTGAAGAGCTTGGGACACGGGAGGACCGAGGAACCTCAAGGTCACGACATTCGTCCAATCCTTTTATTGTATAGGTATTATATGGACCTCGTTAAACAGAAAGGAACCAAGCCACATCGCAGTCATTGTCAAATTTAACAGGTAAATTTTATTTTTTACGAGAGAACGTTCGTGCGGATTCCTTTGCAAATTTTAAGGAATTTGCTTTGAATTATGGAGAAAATTCACTGTTTGCACAAAATTCCGCACAACCGTTTTCATGTAAAAAATTAATTTGCCTGATCAAATTTGGCAAATAGCTGATGTGGCTTGGTTCCTTCCTGTTTAACGCGGTCCATATAATTATTAGTTATATAAATTATTTCTATGCATGTTTATATTTTATTTTATTTTTATTTTATTTTATTTTTACAAAACATACATAAAGCCACCATATGGGGCTATTGTACTAGTATATATTATATATATTTACTGTATAATCACCGTCCTCCAATTGTGGGAAGGGAGGACGGTGCTTATTCAATTCTCGAGGATAGCAAGAATAAGATACTTTTTCAGACTCCATTAGCATTTTAAACGATTTCTCGAACTTATAGAAAATGCGACAGAAGTGCCGTGATTCGTACTTTCGGCACTGAGAATTGACACTTTATCACGAAATACGAATTTTTGCACTTAGTGTTCTAAACCTGTTGTTGGCGGATTTTTATAATTTAAAGACTAAAAAAAGAGTTTCACGCTTACAATTCCTTATCAAAAGCTTTAGAATAACGTAGATCTCATACGACTGGATCAAGTATTATATGTTTGAAAAATGACATTTGATCACGAGATACGAATTTCTGCTACGAATTAGCGTTTTGAACCTTTTCTTGATCATTAAGATCAAAAAAAGATTTTGGGTATTCATACACACGTGTAAAACTTGTTTAAATGCTTGATCCAATACGATGGATGAAGCTATGTATGACGCGATTGACTTCAATAAAACTGACCGTTGAGATGAACTGTCAGTAGGTACCTATATGATTGTATTGGCCCAGAGAGTGAATAATAATGGACATGAACACAGCGCTGCTAGTCAATAGTGCCTATGAAAAAATGATTCCAGAGGGCCCTTTCAGGAGGACGCTTTTTTCAAAACCAGCGAATTCCTGAAAATAAATAAGAACACAGAACATCTGATCTGCTAACGTAAGTACCTATGCCGTTGGCAAGAACCGCTGAGGTACGCGCGTTGTGCGGAAGGCGCGCCAGATGAAATGAAGGGGCCCGAACGAGATAGGCATTTCTGCACTTAAGCCCGAGATACCCGGAAAAAGCTCTATGGTTTTAGGTTTCCCGATTTATTTCGATTATATAATCTCTTGCTGGCAGATAGACAACATCCCCAACAATGCGTTTATGCAGCTAACTCAAAACTGTCAAAAATCGAGTAACGCACCTCTGCACTTTCACCATCGAAATGTGATGCGTTGATAAAGCGGCACAAGATCAACATGTACAGCTCGTATACTCGACTACCAAAACCTCCATCTTTAAGCGATTCAACAGGACGCTTAAACGAATATGTGGAATGCGTATAGGGTTAGTTCAAGTACGTGGATGGATGTGTTGCCGAAACTTGTGCGGGAGTACAACTGGAGCGTTCCACCACCATCGGCGATCGCATCATCGGGATGAAATCTATCGACGTTACCGAGAAGGACGTGCCGATGATCCAAGAAAAGCTTCGCTAACCGCCACTGACCAAAATCCAAAAGAGACGTTTGGTCACAAGAAATTTACAAGTGGGTGATCCCGCTCACATATCACGACTTAATCCCCTAGGTATTTAAGAAAGAATTCACACCGAACTGGAGCACGGAGATTCTCAAGATCGTCAACGTCATTGTCGGGTCTTACGCCCAAAAAGAGATATTTTAGTTTTGCTTAGTTTTAGCGCGGGATCGCCAGTCGCTGCCGCGACTCCGTTGCCGGCCCTACTCCTGATCGTGAGTCGTTGTGCGCAGGCGCCAAGTGACCAGTGCGCAAGCCCACGCGCACGCAGCGACCCACGGCGACGGTCAGGAGAGTGGCCACGGCGGCGATCAGTCTGCGATCAGGTCGGTAGAAGGCTACCGACGAGAGTTTTGTTTGCTAGCTTCCCCCGTTCTTGCAACGCCGAGAGTAAGCCGACTTCTTAAGTCTTTTCCCTTTAGTCTCCTTTCTAGGACGTCCATTCCCTAGAAAGAGAGTTGCCTCAGGACGTCCATTCCCTGAGAGATTCCCTCGAGACGTTCATTCCTCGAGTTGTGTCAGGACGTGCATACCCTGACATGCCACCACGAAGTGCCATACCGTGGTGATGCTTTTCGTTTGTTCGGTTTTCTTGTTCATCTTGTTTTCTGACCATTTGAGTTTCCGTTCAGGTTTTCATTCCGTTTTGTTTCTCCGATTTTAGTTTTATGCTTTCTTCTTCTCGTGGTGGGATGCCTAGGTATGCGGTTCTCGTAGTTGCCTTTGGTTCTGTCCCCGAGATGGATTTTCCTTTCCTCCCTTTTTTCCCTATTTTCTAGTACGGTCCTCCGGTTCTCTTTTCCACTCCGGATCCGACAGTCATTCCAACCGTTCTTATCACCTCCGATCTGATAGACAAGCCAGATAAGATTATCAAAGGGAAATTCTACCGCGAAGAACTCCAGCCCACCACGGACAAGGATACGTTTCTCTTAGAGGATGTTCTGCACCGCAAAAAAAACCAAGCATTCGGCAAGTGTTTGAGTCTAGATGAGAGTAACAACAGTTGGATTGACAGCAAGGATTTCGTTTAAGTAACCGTATAAATAGTATTCGTCATCTTTTCTGTTCTGTGATATAAAAATCATGATCCATAAAATATTTCTCATTGCCGTCGTTGGGACGATGGTGGCAGTGGTCGAAAACTCAATCGAAGCAAACATCACGATGTGTCCGATCAATTCGGAAATTAAATGCGCACCTTCTACCTTGTTGGAAGTTTCCCTATTCATCTTGAGCGTACCAGCGCTCATTTTAACGATACCCGTATCTGTACTCCATGTGCCAATCGTTCCACCGTTGACTCTGTCTCACTAGATGGTCCCGTGACAAAAACGCGCAGCAAGTCAATGACTTAAGTCTCGATTTAAAGTTCGGAGAAGGAGGAGGGATAGATGTTTGAATCGGTCAGTTACAAAAGGGCTCAAGCGCCAAATACGAGATTTCGAGAAAAATGGTAATAACCGTTTTAATTGACCCCTTATAAATCTCAGAGCCCTAAAATGTTAAAGCTTAATTAATCACATTATTAATTATCTGCAATCTAAAACGAGTTGGTTCTTACAGTTTTTTTCGTATTTTTTTATCTGGCGCTTGAGCCGTTTTGTAACTGACCCATTCGTTTGTGGTCGTAAAGATCATGAAATGTTGACGTTAATAAACGATGACGTCATTTGCCGTCGAGGTTATTTATCGCTGATGTTATTGAACAATAAGAACGAAGCTGTAAAAAAAAAAAAAAATGATTTGATTGAATCTAATTTTTCGCTCCCGCGTCGACTGTCAGAGGCAGCGCTCGGCTCGGAGTGGATCAAAGACATAAAGACGGAGCGCTAAAAGCAAAAAATGAAGCTTCTTTTCAATCACCTCTACTATTGGCTGTAGGATTGGCGGCGAAATCGGGACAAGTTTGAAATTCAAATGTAGGGCGGGAACTAAATAAAATTGCTGAAACAAAGTATTTTAGGTTGCTTTTTGCCCAAATTCACTTACACACTCATATTTGTATAACTTTAGGTTAGTTTTAGTCCGTCGTCGACCGATTAATTTCATTTGGGAGTAACTGTCATCTACGACTGTAAACCGACCGTTGAACCGGCAGAACCACCGTGAGCAGAAGAAAAACTAACTTTATCTGATATTACTGCCTGTTACCGAGCAAAAGTAGGTGTATTATAATAGGACGCAGTCCCAACTTTCTTAATATATTCGTTTTAGGCATTTAAAATACGTTTCGAAGAAGAAATGTGGAAAAGCCGCCATGGATTCCCGCGCTCATTTACACACTCACACAAGCACCCAGCGCCAAACCAGGCTTCACTTTTTCCCCGTGCTTTTAGATACGAGCACTCCGTCTTTATGTCTTTGGAGTGGATACCACTCCATTTAAATTAGGTCACTGTACATCACCAGGCTCAGGTTAGGTAAACCGACAGCACCGAACTTATGATTAGTTAGGATTGATCGAATGCAAGCTGCTAAGTCGAACCAACAATTTATTTTCTGCACCTTTAGGCAGCCCTGATAAGAGGAAGATTGATGAATTGATGGGCGATGCTGCAGTCTCCAACCAATCATTTTAATATTTAATTTTTGCTCCTTCAGAGTACTTACGTTGAAAAACAAAGATAATTTAATAAACTGTCGATGTTGCCGCCTCAAACCAATAATTTTAATATTTCATTTTTTGCACTATCAGGTAACACTTAAAAATTTCTCAATAGCTTGAAGATTCCTTCACCCCTTTCGTTACGTTGCTTGGTATCAACGGGCTGAAGTTAGGACAACTATCATTATCATTCCTACCGTAAGAGGAGTCTACGTGAAAAACGCGTCAAAATTAAGGATGAACGGGGTCAAAAATGCCGAGAGAGTGTGATGCTGAAGTTATGAAAGCTCCCAAAACCTCTAGCACCGCAATAATTTTGGAATGCAGAATGCCAATTTGGAATTTTCAGAGAGATTTGCAAAAAAAAGCGAAATAACTGCATCGTTACTCCGGACTCTTACCTACCCTCATATTAATTAACAATATATATTGTACTCTTTTCTTTTTTTGCTATTTTCATGTAAAGGGTACCTAAGCCAAAAGTCCTGCCCGCCTCTTTAACTTCTTACGTAAATGGGTAGGTACAGATTTGAAAAACTCTCAATTTAACTCCTGAGTTTATCAGGAAAACCGAGATGTTCTCTGCCCGTGCACGAAAGTGCACCGTTATTGTCTCAAATGTCCAGCTCTGTGTCATTTTGTTCAAAGAATACCTACCGAATAGTTCAATTTTTGCAACTACTCATTGTTTTAGGGTGTCCATGGAGACCAAGGAAATCCTGGCGTAGACGGATTGCGAGCCCCTGATGGTTTGCCAGGGTCAAAAGGAGACTCCGCCCCCGTCCCAAAGGAATTTTTGCAAGGAGACCCAGGTGATGCAGGACTGCCAGGAATAAAAGGAGAGGAAGGCGATATGGGAGCCCCTGGGGAGCCAGGCGAAGCCAGTGAATTTCAAGCAAATTTCAAAGGAGAAAAAGGGCCAAAGGGAGAAATAGGAGACATAGGTAACTCACTTTTCTCTGCTAGTTGCCAATACCCAAGTAAGACGCTGTAATAAGCAGCGATTGCGTGCAATTATCGTTACCTGGGTACTCACAATCAATAAGAGAGCTGTATATGTCGCCTGCCTATTCACATTTCCAAATTTTACAGAATGCGAAATGAAAAAGCCATGGTAGTAGCTGTAATAAACAGCGATTACGTGCAACTATCACTACCTGCTCACAATCATTAAGAGAGTTGTACATTTTGCCCGCCTATCCACAAATTCAAAATTTACAGATGAAGGTGAAAATAAAAGATCCATAGTAGGAGAATTGCAGTGTTTGTTCTTTAAAAGGTTTGGCTCATATTTTACGAGACGTTGTAAAGACGTATTTCCTGTTCTAAGTGCCTACGGGATTTTAGCCGGGGAGGGGGGGGATATTTAAGGGGCTTAGAGGACAAGGTGCATAAGTTGCAGTTTCTGCTTTTTTGAGAAATATATGTTTGAAATTTTAAAATTGCATGGATCCTAATGGCGAAACGGGCGTTAAAACGGGCGTTTTTGATGCTTAAAAAGTGGAATTTGGGAGCGATTCTTTCACAGAATTTGCATCAAGACTAGCTTTACTTGAAATTAGTAATCTATTTTTTTTCAGAAACTGCTCTTAAGTATGCGCATTTTCTTCCAAGCTTCATACTTATAAAGGTGCAAAGCAGTGCGACATAGGTACTCTCTGATGCTGACAGAGCCTCCTTTTATTACTCAAACTAGAATAGTATAGTACCCGTGGATGATTTTAAAAATTGTGTGAGCTTGAAGAAAATCTTTACGCTTCATCAGTTTCGCAAGGCAACTTTGAGGCACGTTATGACGTAAGTCGCATTGCTTTGCATCAAGCTTTTGTTTGGAACATCAATTCCGGGTATAGGACATAACTGAATTATAGATAGGTAGGCCGACAAGATTTTGGCAGGGGGGTCACTACACATTGACGCCTTCTTCTATCATGATAGAACGTGCCGTCAATCTCACAAATTTACTGCACTTTCTGCCACATTAGGAAAAAAAAGTTAGACATAACTCTTTAAGACTATGATTAAGAACTTTGTCAGTCTCAGGAACTGTAGTTCCTAAAACTCAAGTTATAAGAAATGACTACCGGTCCCTCTCCTTCTGCTGGTGCAGTCTATTACACCGCGAAGTCATGTTTACCCAAGTATAAAAAGGGCCTGTATGAAATGTTGTTGGCGTAGGTAATGGTAGAACGTTGGCGTTGCTTTATTGCATTGAAATGGTCTAAGTACCTATGGATGCTGATCGAAAGTGATCATTGCGCCAACTTTCCACGTGCTGCCGTTTTCGCGTAATCAGCGGTTGCTGTTTCTCTGATTCCGTGAATTAAAGGAAGGAGTGAATGATTAAGTGAATGAGAGGCTCGTACCTTGGGGATGGTTGTACCTTTGGAATAAGTTTCATATTTCCCGCCATAATAGCGCCAGAGTGCTCGTATCATGAACTAAGGTTGTCTGACGTGTAACGAAGCAATTCATCTTGAAAAAGTTGCTCTATGCCATCATCTCCGTCAAATATCGAAAAAAAATCGAATTTTGACCTCCTTTTCAAAATTTTTAAGAAAGCGATAAAGTGATGCTACCCCCCTAAAATATTTTTTTAGGTCTCTGGACTTTATATATTTTGAAACCTAAATGCATGTACCTACTACATGCACACAGTTTTTTGAACTCCATTGTTGGATTCCTAACCTAGAAATCACGACTTGTTTTTTTTTTGGCAGAAATTGTACCGTGGAACCTGCTTGGAACCGAAACACGGTTGTGCCTTATTTTTTTAATAAAAACTAAATTTTTGCTTCTAAGAGAGACGGTTAGTCTTAAATTTCAAGCAAAGGCTGAATTCCTTCAAACAATGATTCAAATCTGCAGAGATCTCCGCAACGGATGAGAGATAGCGTTATAACAAAAGTTCTCTTTCATCATTCAATTTGACTTAAACCCACCAGTATCATGGAACATACATCCTGTAAATTAACTTGAGTGTGTTCTGCTTTATTTTCAGCTTAAATGCCAATTTAGTAGGAGGAATGTAGGATTTTTGTCATGCATTCCAACATTTAGCTCATGCTATTCCATGGTACACCACCATGGTGTACCTTGGAACGATTTTTTGGAATTTTTAAAATCCCAAAAATACTATTATAAAATTGTCTGAACCAAACCAAAAAAATATATGTTACTAAGGACCCTCAGTAGTAAGCCATAGCAGTAAAAGATTTACATTTTTCGAAGAAGGATCTTTAAAAAAATAAAAATGGAAAATCATTCCTAGGTACAAGCCTCTTTCCTACAGTCCTTCAAAATGAGCTTTCCGTATGATTTTGCTAAGAATCAACTTTGGCCCCTAGCCTCCATCCCAAATTTTAGGGTACCCCAAGATCGTTTGACGTGCATAAAGAGACCGTAGATATGGTCTTCTCTGCAAAGGACCCTACAACAAAACGGTCAAATCGGCCTAAACACGGAATCCTACGATTTTCTCAGGGATGAAAGAGGAGTGAACAGATTGGCCCAGATATTCCGGACCACATTTCACCAAAAACTGCTGTTTGTCAAACCGCCGTCAACACCTACCAAGCGGCGAGTAGACCTTCGGCCGTGCTCGGCAATCTTCGTTGCCAATCAGGTTGCCGCTCGCTGCCCCGTAAACTCGAAATAAAAAGGATCGGCTCCTCTACTTCTTTACTTTTCGCATTCGCATGCATTTACTTTTCGAATTTCGGCATTTGGCCTGATTCTCTTTTCCGTAATTTATAACAAAAAAAAAAAATGGTCATTAGCGGCACCTTGTCCAATTTGTGTCTAGAGTCTCTACAACTTTGCAAGTTTGGACGTTACCTTTTGAACATTTCATCCCCTCCCTTTGAGTAATCTTCACATATCACATGGGACTTTTATCTGCATATTTACTTGGCTTTTTTCGTAAAGGATCTTTTAAGAAGTAAATTCTCTCGATACCTAACTTATTGGGGATGGTCAAGTTACCAATTAGAACCCACCATTCCATGCCATAATTATTACAGGACAATGTTTCTTTCCTATAATTTGGTAGGCACCGTAAGAATAATGCGTAACCACAGTATTTGATCCGTGCCTTAAAAAATGAGCCACTGGTGGCAGAACCATCTTGGTGATGTTCTTTAGGAATTTTAGACCTTATTCTATTTTTTCAGCAGACGAACCTCACATGGTTACTTGTAAAGTCTTGCTTCATTTTCCTTGAGTTCTACTTAGTTTAGTGCCAAAAAACAAGAAAATTCATGGAGAAACATCATGCCTTAAAGGTGATATAGTTCCCCCTCATACTCACTGTCAGAGTTCCGATGGAAAAAATTTTGTTGCCATAGGTAAATACGGTTTCCATTGCTTCTTCAGCTGCTAATAGACAACTATGCGGGTTTGCTGGAGAATTTGGTGACTGCTAGGATTGTTAATTGGTATCTCCGAAGTCTGGTTGTTATAGCTACACTTGAAGCATTGGCTTCAACGCAATGCAAAACCAGAACCTTGGAGAGACCAGAGAACATCCATAAGAAAGTAAGTGAGGAGCAAGGTACCTATAATTGTATATCCGTCTAGTTTTCACAACTACCGTTACTAGAGATTTAGGATTCAGATTTGCACATCAACCAATAAGTTTTTTACCCCATCATCTTGAGATAGAGGCTGCCATGCAAGCCGCAGCCAGGTAGTCCAATGCTCATGGCAAGGCGCAGTCAGGTGCCAGGTAGTCCAATGCTCATGCCACTTAATCAATACAAATATTATCCTAACTTACTACAAAATGGCTTGTTTCTTCTTTAACAATGGAACCGGAAAATGTTACTTTAGACACGCAGGAAACTTTTTTGGTCGAGATGAAGAAAAGAAACGTAAATGAAGAAATGAGTCCGGAACATCTCGACCAGGTACAGGCCGCTTTGTTTACGTTAGGAGTCCGGAGTATCTCGCTGCAATTTCACTTGAAACCACAATGAACAGATCAACGCGGTAACTGATATCTGATTTAACGAAATGGATAGATGGATGCGGACGAAAGTTCTTTTGTCGAGGTGAAGAGACGATAACGCTGAGAAAATTAGTCTGGAACATCTCGACGAGATCCGCTTTGTTTATGTCCGGACTATGTCGCCGTTTGTTTGTTTACATTAGGAGCGAGTTTGACACCGATGACAGATTTTGGTCTTTGATGAGAATTTGGTCTGGAATATCTGGGCCAAACGCAAAAACCATGAAAGAGGGTCTCCCCGGACACTCAAAACTGGTCATTTTTTTTGCCTAACCCCCAGGGAAAAGAGGGGATGGGGGGTCAAAGTCAAACACTTTAAAGTATCATAACTTCTCGACAGTTTGTCGTAGAAAGATGATCTTGGTGTCAAAATTTCCAGAAAAATAAGAGCTTTCAGAATATATGTATGAAATTAATAAAATTTTAAATTTTGACCCACTTTTTGGGGAATTATACAAGGTTCCCCTATCGTAAATTTTCGTTTTTCGATATTTTCGGTCGTTCGGTTCGCACGGAGCAAAACAAAAACAACTCTAAATGAAAGAAGAGGGCATAAGGTGTAAAACAAGCCCAAGTTCATCTTGGGGAAACGATTAGAAGCGGAGTTGTGAGTCTTCAAAGTTGACGCGGCGCGCGGGAACCTTGTATGTTCCGAGTCTCAAGGTCACCTACGCCCCCCGGATTGCCTGCAGGTTGCAAGTTTTTGTGTTTTTATGCTTCTGTAGGTTGCTTTTAATGTAAATCATTCCATGAAAATAGAAAAATCGGAATTTTTTAATTTTACGGGAGGAGAGAGAGGGGGCTTAGAGTATCAACCATTATGTCCATGATGCCTCATTAAACATTTGCTGACGATGACGATTCTGCTCTTATAATTTAGAAAAAACCATGGACCCTCAGTTCAAATATACATTTGATCCATACAGAACTGAACCATTTAGGAATTATAACCCATTGATGCCAAATTTAATACTTTGTTTCTGCAATTTTATTCAGTTCCCGCCCTACATTTGAATTTCAAACTTGTCCCGATGTCGCCGCCAACCCTTCTAGCCAATAGTAGAGGTGGTTGAAAAGTAGCTTCATTTTTTGCTTTTAGCGCTCCGTCTTTTTGTCTTTGGATCGCACCGCTCTCGAATTATTGGGCCATGGCCATAATCATTTGAGATGATTGTTAAGGTACATAAGACATTAATTGATTGATTTCAGAGTTCGATGTTAGGCTTAGTAATTGATTTGGAGGCTTCCCGATAGCCTCATTGCATTCATAGTTAAGACGTAGAGGTTTAGTCCTGTCAAAAATCGGCGAGGATGCACCGTTCTCAAGACATCGATCAAAATGGTGGGTACAAGAATCGTCGACACAAGTCGATCGAAAATTTAAAACCTAATTTAATCGACATTTTTTTTTTTGTTCGAAAATTTAAATTTAAACTCGTCAAACAAAAATCACTTTTACGTCGACATCGTTTCAATCGACGTCGTTTCTCTAGACACAGTTCAATCGAAAATAGAAACGCAATTCAGTCGACATCGATTCGATCGACATGGATGGATTGACATTTTTATCATCAACAAATTTTCCATCGAACTTTTTTTTTTTTATCGACATACTTTTTATCGACTTATTTTCGATCAACATGTATTTGATAGACATTGTTTGTATAGACACTTTTTCACTCGAAAAACGCCTATTGAAAGAAAACCACCGTTTCGTCGACACTTTTTCAACCGAAAATTGCATCTTTTAATCTCGCAAGAGGCTTGTGCAAGCCATAGATTTATCGACATCTGTTCGATCGACACATGAATTTGAATGCCTCATGGGACTGCCTGATGAGCTGTCTTATAGAATTTGTAAATGGGAACATCCGGGGAAATGGGTTTTGCATAACTCCAAGGCGCGTTTACTGATTTCATACTTACTATCGTAGACTGCACACTGGAAAAAAGTTTCCTACATATCAGGCGGAGCCGCCTTGGACCATGTAGGTAAGCCATTTACCTAAAAAGTATCGAAAAGAAACGGATGTTTGTTCCAAAACAACAGAGTTCGATTGGATCATGTAAACACGTTACCAAACTAGTACTCCACGTGTAGTTGGAGTGAGAAAATGTTTACTTAAATGTAGAAGCATTCCGAGATGCGAAAATATTTCCTGAAATAAAGTAATCACCGTCGGTTTGAAAGGAGTATCTGTGATCTTGAACTAAGTCAACCGTTTCCTTAAAATCAGGATACGGTTGCGTGTCTCTCGTGAGCGTTTACTGGTTACAAGCTGACGGTTGGTTTAAAATTAGTAAACGATCGAGCGTCCGGCCGGAATAGGTATTGCATAACTCCCAGGCGCGTTTACTTATTTCAAGCCAATAATTGTTCAGACCCCAATTGTGGTGACCTCCCGATGGTTGTAGAACATTCGTATTGGGAAAGCAGTGGGTACCAATGGACCACTAGACAAGGTACGAATTAAAGGATTCTGACACATGTAACTTAACCAAAATTTCACGCAGAACACGATTCGCGCAACGAAAATTACTGAAACCGACTCCTAACGAAGATATTAACCTTTTTATTTCACATTGGTTACGCGGATTTTGAACTACCCGCTCACAAGAAACTCAAAGCTCTACGTGAGCCAAATCGCGCACTACAACGGTTTCAGCAATCTTCTCAATCGAGCAATGTTCATTTCCCACCATGTGTTGTTCAAACTAAAAGCAATTTGCTATAGCTGAGCCAAAGCGTCAAGATTGAGGTTGCCAGATTTTTATATCGCAGAGACTGTCATGATAAACGTTTAGCGCACGATGTGAATCACGTAGAGCATTGAGTTTTCATGAGCGGGTGGTTTGTATTCACGCATCAAGAATTATTGAATATCTTCGTAAGGAGTTGATTTCGGTAATTTTTGATGTGCGCATCGTGTTCTACGTGAAATTTTGGCTAAGAAACCTGTATTAGAATGCTGAAATTCGTACCTTGTCTAGTGGTCCATTAATTCTCGGCGGAATTGGTACTGTCCAAAATTGACTAAGACGCACTGTTTTCGAGATATCGGGCATAAAAGAATTTAAGGTTATATCATGCGGACCTTGTCAATGAATTGCCATTCTTTCGATTTTCCAATATGCGAACCCAATACTGAAGTATCCAATGATAATGCTTCCGATGCCCACTGTCCAATGCCCAAAGTCCAAGGTCCTGATGCACACCCCCGCCCCTAAAAATAAATTCATGAATTGGCAGCATTTTCCAAACGACTCTTGCATAACCTACAAATCGAAAGGAGCAATATTCACTATTGCATAACCCACAGATTGAAGGGGCAACATACCAAACTCTATTTCAAAACCAACAGATTGAAGGGAGAACATGCAATACTCAAACTTGTCTGCAAAGGTTTACAACACCGCACCATCCATTATTCCTTTTCCTGCACAATTTTTCAAAACTGCCAACCCTGCCGACCATACTTTTTGATTCAAATTTTTATGCACGGTATCGCACAATATCTGTGTTTAAATTCCCACTTTTACGATACTTAATTGAAACTTTGACTTATCTTACACAAAATATAAATATGTGTTAGTCATATTCTTATGCAGGCATGTATTTATATGAATGCGCCAGAAATAATGGTTTGTTCTTATTTCAAAATTATATCCATACAAATAATCAAAACCTTTTTGGTGTTCTTCCATTTCAGGATACACGGGATACAAAGGGGCGAAAGGCGTCACCGGAGATACAGGTGCTCCAGGGTTGCCAGGACCAGCAGGACCCCCCGGTTTCACATTGCCAGGTGGACCTGGCTTGAAAGGCTTTGCTGGAGAGACAGGGGACCAAGGGCCAAGGGGAGACCCAGGCTCAACTGGTCAACCTGGACCTCCAGGACCTCCTGTACGTCTGTTTGTTTCTTTTAATTATTTTATGAATCATAGTTCATGTAGGTACTGTTTCATTTTTAGTCAGAAAGTTTTAACCTTAATTCATCGAAGTGGTCTAGTACTTACATGTAGTTCCTGTGTTCGCGACTAGGTTTTCGCAGCTGTCTTTTTTATAAGAAATTAACAATTTTATGATTTTTATTTCCATTTAGATAATGCTTCAAAGAGTTTCCACAACTTTATTAAAGAAAGAAAGAATCTCGACTTGTAAAGTTTTTCACACATCGACAACGAACCTTCCAAACCACGAATTTGCTTTGCAATGTTTCATAATCTCCACTCCTATTTAATTTTTTAAGAGATGACCGAGTCTTCTCTTAAAAAATAACCAGGGCCTAGTTTTCGCACGGTCCAATGTGTCCGTGCTAGAACCGAGCATGTTGATACCGTATTAGTACTATGTAGTAGTCGACATGGTGTTCGGCATTACATTCTTCCACATTGGTACCATGGTGGCCACTGTTTGGCAAATTGACCGAAATCATCGATATCACGTAGGTAACATATTTAAATACTGTCGTCGTCAGCACTGCGTAGGTACCGTGTTTAGTCACCGATATGATCGTGTTTAGAAGAGATTGTTTGTCATTTCTTTCCTCTTTGACCACCTTCCCACCTTTGTAAATATTGTCTGTTAATTGAGATGAATACCTACATAAATCCATTCTTTATTTCTCAGGGGTCGCAAGGATTGAAAGGAGATCGAGGTGATCCAGGTCAAAACCTGCTTGGAGGAGATATTGGTCCTACTGGTGTGAAAGGCGCCAAAGGAGAACCAGGAGCAGAAGGGCCAGAGGGTCTCAGAGGATCACCCGGTTACCCAGGAGTGGGAGGCGTCAGAGGAGCCAAAGGTGCTCCCGGTTATGCTGGTTTAAGTGGGGTTTTGGTAAGTTCTGATGTCCGAATTTTCCATTTTTGTCATGGTATCGATATTTTTCGTGCTAAAACTGCCAAACTGGCTTAATCTGCCGTCGTAAACAAATTGATTGAAGCTTTGTTGAGTCATATCAAGTCAACACAACTAATGGTGCAAAACCTGACAATCTCAAAATCGGCCAAAAATTGGCATTCGGGGTGTTTATTTATTCAAAGAAACTACTTTGAAGACTTTTTTCATTCGTTTGCGAAATCCTTCAGTCCAGATGCGAGGGGAAAAATAACGGGAAAAATTGGGATACACGGTTTTATTGATTTATGTTGTTCATTTTGGCTATTCGAATTCGATCGAATTCGAAGATGACCCCCGTTTTCATGCATCGCTCTCGCACCTCACAGTTATTCGGAAAAGCTGATGTCCATCAAAAAATGGATTTTGCGCTTTCGGTGTTTTTGTTGAAATTTTCCTGTTCAGAATGCACAAACAAGCTTATTGGTCTCCACGCTCATGCTTTGGTATGATTGCCTGTTCATTCGCACGGGCTAGATTTGAAAAAATATAGAAATTGGTACTTTGAGGAGACCAATAAGTTTGTTTGTGCATTCTGAACAGGAAAAGTTCCGCAAGAACACCCAAAGTGCAAATTCATTTTCCGATGGACATCAGCTTTTCCGAAAAACTAGGAGGTGTCAGAGCAATGCATGAAAACAGGGGTCATCTTCGAATTTGACGCGTCGAACTAAACGAGGTGTACTTTTTACCTTTTGTCTAGTTGCGCAGTGTCATCTTACCGGGTGTAAAATCGGACTTGTTGAAAAACCTTTTTTTATGGATGTGGGGGAGGGGGAAAGGAGGCTGAATGGGGTTTACGTATTGTTTTAAATAATTCTACTCGGACATTTTACATTGAGTGCACCTTATCATTTTTTTCCATTTAAACCGTTAAATGCCGAAAAACGACCTATACTAATTGAGTGAAAGGGAGATGGTAGTCGGGGAGGAGATAAGGGTATTTGGGGGTAGTGGGGCGGTAAAGCAAATAAGGCTAAGAGTATTTAGAGCTCTTTTTGTTGTAAATTTTTTTTATAGTAAATATAATCATTGCTGCATTGAAATCAATATTAATACCACCACAGATGGGAACACCTCAAAATCTCGATTTGACGGTAAAAAATAAAATAATTTGAAAGGGTGATGGGGGAGAGGGGGTCCGAAGTCTTAAGTACACTCATCGTTAGGCATTTCACGATATTTCAAATTCAATACAATCTTTTTTGCGCTCAAGCCAACATTTTAAGCGCGAACATAAAGAAAAACCCGAAATTACTCCAATTAGACCCCTTCCCCCCTCCCCTGAGATTACACTATTCGGATTTTATGAGGTTTTTTTTGTAAGCGTTCCTTATACCCAAATGAACAACATAAAACAATAAAACCGTGTATCCCAATTTTTTCCGCTATTCGTAGGATTTTGATCCGCCACATCTGAACTACTTAGGAGAAAAAATGACTGCGATGGGATATCAGTCCTTCTTCACTAAGACTGACTAGAACGCGTTATTGATCATGTTCCCTAGGGGCCTTTTGAGACAAACTTATGTCTTTTCAACGCAGTTAGCTACTGCTCAATCCAATACAGCGCGCAGTGGGGAGAAACGGACCATGGTTCGCGGTCAAAAATCTGTAACTCGGAGGGAATTGCATATTTTTGCTTGCCATTTCGCACAGATCTTTTTTAGAATATCCTTAGCTCGTGTACGAAAGATCAGGAATTTTGACTCTCGTTTTCGGCCTCAAAATGGCGGCAAAAATTTAAAATGGTGGATTATTGAAAATCCTCGAACTCTGCATCTCGCTCCAGAATTTTAATTTGGCAAGTGCGGTACAAATTTCTAATATTTTATTCGTAAAACTCGAATTTTTGGTCGAAAATTCGATATAATCCGCTTGGTGGGCTAAGATTCGAAGAAATGGGCCATTGTAAGGCAAATTAAGTTAGTTTCACGGATTATTATCGTCAAAATTTTCTATCTACAATTAAGCACAATGTAAAATAATCCTCAGAAGTCAAAATTAGAATTTTGGCACCAAAAATGGCCAAAAGTTGTCCTAGTTGGACCTAAAACCGGAAATTCGTCACAATAGCCGTGTAGGTCACCGATTGTGTGGTATTTTCCGATAAATATAACAAATTTTGGGTTCAAATTACATGAAAATTAAAATTTGGCCTATGTTACCGTAGGTGAGTAGTGCCAAAATTTGATTAGTAGGTAATGCTGAAAATCCTAATGAATCACTATTATACAAGGATAAATTACAAATTCATCGAATGTTAAGTTCAAATTCACACACGTCTCAAAGGAGAAGACATCTTTCAACTAAAAAAATCAACATTTCTTGCGTCTAGTTGCGTTCGGAATTTTATGAGCCAAATTTAGGGTCAAAACAGGCAATTTGGAGTAAAAATTGACTGTATGGTTAAAGTTACCATGGCGAGTGAGGTATCAATCAAAGGGTACATTTGGACAAATCTCTCTGATTTTGAATGTGATGTATTAAAAAACTTTAACGTGGCTCCGTTAGTCCATTCAAGCCTTAAGAAAATCCAAAATATGGCCTACAAATGCTTATTTTCGTTAGAAATCAAAAGTAAATCCATATATTCGAGTAAGGTATCGCTTGTATAGTATTTTTTGCAAAAAATGACAAATTCGGGGTTCAAACTACATGCAGTTTAAAATTATGCCTGGTTTACCGTAAGCGAATAATACAAAAATTTGACTTATAATGCTGAAAATCCTGATTAATCACGGGAAAAACACGCACTACACACAGAGAAAAAAACGAGTGGTAGGTACCATATATGAGAAGTTAAAATAAAATGTTTTTGTCTTTAAGTAAACCAATAAAGAACTGATTTAGATTTTACGCACGTGTCTTTTGGACGGAATGTTAGTGATAAATATGCATTTCCCTTCAAGTTACAGATTTTTGACCGCACCTCGTGATCTCTTTTTTCTCACTGTGGAGCGTTGCGTCGCAGGAAAAGTCTTTTCGTGCCGTTAGCAAGGTGTTGTGATATTCTGCTCTTCAGCTCAAGCAGTTTTTTTAAGTTTCATATCCGAGGCGTATTTTTGGCCTTTCAATAAGTGTCCCTCCAAAGGACCCTGCAAACCTCTTAAGGGAATGTGTGCCATGATCGATTTTCAATTTTTTTATATATATCATCAAACTTGTGTATGGTTGCTGATCAAGTCATCGTTGCGCCAACTTTCTACAAGCTACCGTTTTCGCACAATCCGCCCGAGAGTTTCAACAATCCCTTGAATAAAAGGAGGCAGTGTGGCGATGAAGAGTTAACAAGACCTATCTTTCTTTCAAAATTCGAGAACGATATAGATGAAAGAGGAAACTTTTAGCCGGTGAGAGGTAAGTGTGAGAGGGAGGGAGAGAAGGGGGGAGAGAGGGAGAGAGAGGGGAGAGGGGGAAAGAGAGAAAAAGCAACTGATTTGGATGGTCTAGCGGAAAGGCGTGCGGAATCCGAGATCAGGCTGCCCCTGGTAAAATTCCTGGGCACACGGACACCTAGTTGGCCGTATGGACACATTTGATGGCCGTCCGAACACCCATTGCAGCCGTGTTAACACCCGGTTTAGCCGTGGGGACATCTGTGATGGGCGTGCGGAAACCCAGCAACAGTGAAATTGCAGACACACATATGTATATTGCTGCTAAACACCCGGTGTAGCCGTGTGGACACCTAAGATGGGCGTGCGGGAACAGTATCAACAGTGAAATTGCGGACACACATATATTGCTGCTAAACACTCGGTGTAGCCGTGTGGACACCTAAGATGGGCGTGCGGACACAGTATCAACAGTGAAATTGCAGACACACATATATTGCTGCTATTTTACTTTTTTATGAATTGAGAGGTAGCCAGCACATCATTCCTTACAATTTTTGAGGAATTTCTGCACACTGAGGAAAAAAATCAAGGATGTTGGAAGGAATTTTCTAGTCTTCAATAGAAATTACAGTGTTACGAATTTTGTATTTTCTTTCGTTACGGCGCTTCCTGTTCTCAAATTTAAATAAATGTTTCCATGTATTATTTGCAGAAAAGCTCTTATAGCCTGATTGTCATATTTAACTAGCGGAAAGCCCGTGACTGAAGTCATGGGTCTAGATGCTTCACCAAAAATTTAGTTACGGGGAGCATTAGGCCGATATTGTTTCGGGGATGATGCCACTATTCGACCACATGGGAGCTTATTTTGCCCGAGTGAGCGTGCCATTTCACGACGATACCGCTATTCGACCACGCAGAAGCTCCTGCTGCCTACACTGAAATTGAGGGCGAAATGAAATGACGTTAATTTATCTTCTCCAGTTTGGTGAAATGCTATTTTTTAAAAAGTTCCAAGTAATCGTGCAATTTTACGACGAAACAGCTATTCCACTATTTCCACGTTCTTAATTTATTTCAATCTCCCTCTCACTGCTTTCTTCTTTTTACTTTTCATTTCTTCTGTCTGTTTTCTCCCACTATCATTATCTCCTTCTTCTCTCTAAATTTATCCTAGCTTACTTTCTTTTACTCTTCTTGTTCTGCACCATTCGTTGTTCTCCCTTTTCTTCATGGTCATCATCAGCATCAGCATCATAATCATCATCCATCATCTCTCTCTTTTAGTGTTCATGTGCTCGGACGGGAAGTAAAAAAAAATAAAAACAGATTAATGAATAACAGTTAAGAGGAGCAACTACTTTACTGACAAACGCGGTCCCGACATGACATAAAAACAAATTAGCAGACAGAGGACGTCTATTGCACGGACGATGATACCACTCTTCGACCACGTGAGAGCTTGTGTTGCCTACACTAATCATTGAAGGCAAACTGTCATTTCACGACGACAATACCGCCATTCAACCACGTAGAAACTCGTGTTGCCTACCTTGAAATTTAAGGTGAACTGAAATGGCGTTACTGTAATCTTTTCCT